GCATCAGTAATAGCAGCATCCGCGCGGACAAGGTTACGCAGGGCAGGTGCAGCGCAGGAAAAGGAGCGCAGGGGGAAGCAGGGAGAGCGGCAGGGTTTTTCCGCACACTTTGTAAAGGCCCTGGGAAAACCGCTCAGCAACAGCAGAGCGGCAGACGGAGTCACTGGGGTTGGCACTGCCGCGTCCCGGGTGATCCGTGGCGCTCCGGCCTTTCTCTTGGAACGCCGCGAAGGCCGGTGCCGCGGAGGCAGCGGGGCTCTGCAGAACGGTTCTGAGGAAGGTTTGGACCACGCAGCACAGGGAAGCGCCTCTAGGGACTCTCCATCCCAGCCGAGTCTAATCCCTGGGCTAAATTCCATGGGGATGCAGAGTGCCCTTTCTGGCATCTCTCACACTGTGCTGAGCACAGTGCCAACTCACAGATGATGGATGCTTGTTTTGAGGAAGAATGCATCTCATAGTTTATTCTGGAGCGTTTCTGTCATGAGAAGAGAAATGATCTTTTCTCCCTATAGCCACTCTCCTGCAGTTTAATAGCACCCGTCCTTTCCAGCCTTGGATCACATATCTCATGGTGGCATTAGAGGAAAGGCTCCAGCTCAGTCTCCTCAGCAAAGGGAGAAGATCCCTTCTGCAGGAATCCACCGCACCGCTCAGGACACGCATATGGGCGACACAACATGGCCGTAATGAAACGGCTTGGCACCCACCTCAGAGCGCCTGCAACCCACCAGGCTCTCACAAAATCACCCCCAAACAGCACTGGGTACCCTCCCACCCCCAGAGGGAACACCGGGAAACCTCTGGAGAGCATCCTTACCTCCGTACAGTGAACGCGGAACGCATGTTAGCAACAACCCGTTCTGCCCGTTCACCAGCTCCTTACCAAGATCCTTAGGAAACGCACAAAAAGCAACACGTTTCTCTTGGGATGAGAGGAGGGGTTTGGGGGGATGCAGAGGGGCTGGCCGCCCGCCGCTCCCCGCGCTGCAAAGGGCCACGGGCCCTGCGCGCACGCGGCCACGCGCAACGCGGCTCACCTAGGGACGGAGCCATCGTGGCCATGGTGTTGGCGGGGTCCAGCTGGAAGCCGCCCATCATGAACTGCGTGTCGGAGGACGTGCTGTCCATCTTCAGGTTGGGAAGGTTCATGTTCTGCGCCAGGTAGTACTGGTAGAGCTCTGCCTCCGCCGGGGACGGCAGGCTGCCCAGGCCCAGGTGCCGGTTGTGCTGGATCTGGGACATGTTTTGCTGCAGCAGCATCATGTTGTGCATGTGCTTCTCACTGGTCATGTGAATCCGCAGGTTCCTGGCCACGTTGGTCTCGTAGTCGCACACCTCGCACCGCCACGTGGGCTTGGTTTTTGGTTTGGTGGGAGAGGGGGCCCCGCAGGCGCTCCCAATTTTTGCGGCGGCAGCGGCTGCCGCGGCGGCTGCCGCAGCGGCCGCCCCGGCCGTGTGGCTGAAGACTTGCTCGCCCCCTCCATTCTGCAGGTTCTGCATGTTGTTGAGATGCTTATCGGACTGCATATGAATACTGAGGTTGCCTTTGGTAGTAGTGGAGTAGTTACAGACCTCGCAGCGGAAGGGCTTGTAACCACACGTGTAGCTCTCGCCCCGTGCCAAGCGCGGGTGAGGCTGCCCACTCTTGCAGTAGACACACGAGCCACCCGGCTCGGGATGTTTCTCCTTCATGTGCGCCTCAAGTGTCTGCTGGTACTTGTAGTGCCAATTGCACTTGGGACACTTGAGCGTCTTGCACGAGTTGCGAGAATGCATCATAGTCATGTGGCCACCCAGCGACCGCGAGGAGCCCAGGACCGTGTCGCACTTGGGGCACTCGACGCCGCTCCCCGAGGGGCACTCGCCACCCCCGAGCTCGCAGAGGGGCCCAGCATGCTGGTGATGGGAGATGTAGCTCCCGTCCTCGCCCTCTGCGCTCTCATTTGGTTCTGGTGCTGTGGCATTGTCCTTATTGGCACTTTCATCGATAAAGTCCAGCCTCCTGCTGCCCTCTGCCACGTTGGCTCCACCGCCCTCATTGTTAAAGCTTAAGTGATTCCTCCTGTTTGCACCATCAAAGACAAAGGAAGAAGCAGAATTAGAACTAGTAGAAGCTGTGCCCCGCGACAGGGTCTGGAGCACGTTAGGCATTAAGGGAGAGTTAGAAATGCTTTGGTTTGAGAGAGCAAGGTCCTTTTTGCTGCTGCTGCTGCTGCCTGACACAGCCCCAGACTCCTCCTGGGGCCTGTCCTCCAATTCATCCTCCAACTCACTCGGAAACAGTCCTTTGCAACCCTCATCATCGTCTTCCTCTTCCTCCTCTTCCTCTTCCTCCTCCTCCTCCTCCACATCCTCCTCCTCCTCGTCCTCCACCTCCTCAGCTGGCTCTGCCTTTTCCGAGAGGCTGTCCTGGTCACCCGTTTCCTGCTTCTCGCTCTCCGCTGCCCCAGGGTCCTTTCCCTCTGAGGATTTGGTAGGGCTGGAAGCCAGCGGGCCCAGGGGGACTGAGGTAATTGGCGTCTTCAGAGCCGAGCTGGTCAGCCCGCCAAGGTTGAGGAGCGCGCCGGGTGCCAGGATGCCCGACTGCGGCTGCTCCGCCCCGCCGGCCGCCCCGGCCTGGAGAGCCTGTTCACCTTCCATTCGAATGCCACTGAATTTACCATAAAAACTGTGTCCAGGGCCTATGAGGTTAGCTGCAGAAACAAGAGGGTGTTGAAAGGTTTTGTTTTTTGGTTCCAGAAAACTTACAAGAGGTTCCTTGTCCTTGCCTATCCCTTGGATGATAGCGGAGATGTTCTTATTGCTAAGAATTTTCCGCTCTGCCTCACTCAGAGTCATTCGGTGATCGTGTACCGCGTGGGTCACAAACGAGCGGACATACCCAAAGGAGAGCTTGCACAAGAAACACATCAGGATGGGCTTCCTCTTCCCGTAGAGCACAAAGCCATCAAATTTGGACAGGTCCACATTGTTGGGAACATCTTTGGATACACAGGAGCTTTTGGCAGAACCGTCGCTGTTCAGGTAATCCTTGTTGCTTTTGTGTCGCACATCGAAAACGCGGAAGCTGTGCAGGACGGGGCTGATGCCCGCCAGGGCTGAGGTATTCGGGAAGGACTGGTCTGAGCCCTCAAACCACTTCCCGAAGGATGAGGCTATGTGGAAAGTATTAATGATCTGTGGGTAGACGGGCGCGGCAGAGGAGGGGTCTCCCTGCTTGCCCCCGGCGCCGGGCAGAGAGTTCACGAAGAGCGGCGGGGGGGGCGCGCCGCCGGGGCCGCCGGGCCCGCGCCGC